AAATGAAAATCGATGATAGCCTCATAATATAATATCTATAATCTATGGCAAATGCCATTCGGTGCCACTAATCATTCGTCTGAGACGATTCACAAATACAATTTTATAATAATTTCAACAAACAAAATTAGAATGTTATAAAGTTATTAGTTAACAATAAGCCGATTATAGGTATTTTAGTACCTATAAAATTGATTCTACTTAAGATAAGAAAATGTCTATACATTCAGTTCAAAGTGAGATGAAGACGAATGAAGAAAGCAGTTCATTAGGAGTTGATATTGAGTTCCATTATATGGAGTCAGCACTCTAAATAATTTGGCACAGCTATATTTTAACCCAAAAAGTCTATGTATATGTAGGTAAGTTTGATAACTTATTCTTTTGAGAATTGCATATCAACTTTATAGTCTTAAAATTAATAATTACTGCCATGGACAAYCTTAAATAATATAGGCAAGCARTAATAACGATGGTACATCTAAGTCAAAGAATAATAATGTTTTTATATACAATTATAAATAGTGTTGTACAAACTAGTTATACTGAACACTGGAGTTCTATAAGTCCCATAAAATTCAACAATTTTTTATGTTAGTATATTAATGTTAATAAGTAACCTAATAATATTTAAAGCTACTCCTCCACCACTAAGTTTGAAGGTGTGTGTGTGTATGCATGTGGGGGTTGAATAACGTGTGAATAATAAATTGGGTGTCTGGGAATTTGACTACAATTAAATAACCGTAATATAATCTTATATTCTTATGTTATACATTTTGGCCCTATCTCTGGGTACATTTTTTTTATGTGTTGTGAATTCCATTAATGATYTGATAATGAGTAATGAATTATATTCAAATTAAATAATAAAACATAATATCAATGGAATTTGTATTATACTTGGTAAATTAAAATACTTTAGGAGAATAAGTACAAAATTATAGTTCAGCTTATAATTTAACGCTTAGTGCTTAGTTATGAGATGGTACATTAAAACAAACTAACATTATAAATAAATAATAAAAAAACAAGTTTTCTGTATTAAAAAATTCAATTATCCCAATTTTTCAACAGATTCCTGAATGTCATCAATTTGCTCTTTCAGTTTATTCCATTGGCCAACAGACAAAGATATTCCTATAAACATAATATTGACAT